AGAAACGTTTCATTGATGACGTTTCCTTTCTTTGGGACTGTCGGAAAGAAAAGACCCAACCTTTTATTAAAGAAACTAATAATTCCATCCCAAAAATTAAGTCCACGGCCGGAATATGAAATAACGAAATAACTTTCCTTGATACAATAGTTTTCAAAGGAGAACATCTCACAGAGAAATCCATCTTCATTGGACATCAAATCCCACTATAAGCCGACTAAAACCTTTCAATATACACACTTTACCTCGTTCCACCCTTCGGAGGTAAAAAGAAGTTTCATTAAAGGCGAAGAAATAAGATTGATGATTAAAAACTCCTCAAAAAAGAAACAACAACATTTGAAGAGTGCCTTGCGACCTCAAAGCACACGAATCTCCTAAACCAGATATAGAAAGGTCGTTGTCAGGGGTCAACCGTGACTCGAGACACTGATCGGGGCTAAAACAAAAATAAAAAATTAAAGAGAGACTATTGCCTTTCGTTACAACATATAACCCAGCGGTACAAGATCTTAAAAAGACATTGATGGCAAACTGGAGTCTACAGGTCTAATAAAAAATCAGCCTCTGCAGTGCTGAAAACAGTTTAAGACCTCCGATCATATCCTACAAAAGACATGCTTGAGTGCAAAAATGTAATTTGGAGGCAGTTAATAATTTAACGCAACCACAAAACCACATTGGGAGTCCGTACAGGTCTGTCTTTTACTTCCTTACAACTGTGCTGAGTCCTCCTCTTCCCATCAGTGTGTGTGCATACTTTCCTGTCACTTAATTTGCAACAACAATTTTTTTTTTATTTGCTGCAATTATTTTTTATTTGCAGCAACTACTTTTTATTTGCAGCAACTTTATTTCATTCTTAGCAACTTTATTTTATTTGCAGCAACTTTTTTTTTTATAAGTCGGCTTATAGTGGGATTTGATGTCCATTAATGAAGATGGATTTCTCTGTGAGATGTTCTCCTTTGAAAACTATTGTATCAACGAAAGTTAGTTCGTTATTTCATATTTCGGCTGTGGACTTAATTTTTGGGATGGAATTTATTAGTTTCTTTAATAAAAGGTTGGGTCTTTTCTGTTACAGTCCCAAAGAAAGGAATCGTCATCAATGATTATTTGCTGCAATTATTTTTTATTTGCCGCAACTACTTTTTATTGCAGCAACTTTATTTAATTCGCAGCAACTTTTTTATTTGCAGTATGTCCCCTGTGGGCCACAGTAAAACGTGCCCGGGGCAGGAACGCGTGACGAACTCCTAAGAGCGTCTGCGTGGGAGGCTTGTTGTAATTGGACAGACACGATTTTTTACTTCTGTATCTTTAATTGTGTAACGAATTTAAGTTAGAGAATATTTACTCTGGAGTAAACTTTTGCGGGAAAATTGTTTGTGGTAATTTTTGATTTTTATTCGCAGGAACTTAGGCCCGTTTCAAACGTCGTGCTAATGCCGTGCCGAACTAAGTTGATCGAATTAAATTCGACTTTAGCACGGCAGTAGCGCGACGTTTGAAACCAAGTCGTGCTACTGCCGTGTAGCACGGCAAGCTTTGCCGTGCTTATTGCCTGCGTGCAGACTTCTCCTATTTCCTTTTTTGCACGCGGGAAAAGGAAAACAAAGAAAACAGGTGACGTCTGCACGCAGGCATGCAACTCCCGGGCGGGGGGAACTCCGCATATGAAGGTGGTACGGATGCTCGTCGGAAATTTTGAATTAAACCCCCAAAAGAGACTGATCTGGGCGTGGCCCAAGCTTTTTTTGACGCGAAACTTGAGAGACCATGTTAAAACGCAGACAAATGAAAACA